ACGCTGGTGCTCCAGTTCACGGTCTGGCGCTCGGGTTCATATTCGAAGAACGAATTCTTAGTGTAGCTTCTGCCTTGGATGCTATGCTTACGCGGGTCATTCGGCTTGAGCAAGAGCGGACGAAGACGAAGATATGGCTGCCAAAAGGTCTACGAGATCTGCTCTCGTGGGGACTTGGGAGGGACGCTGCCCCCGGCGTCATTGCAATGTCAAGCGACAACAATGATTTAGGGCTTGAGAAGGCTATGACAAGGAGCAAAACCAACTCCTCAACGAAGAAGAAAAAGAAGAATGAGGAAGAGAAGGAGACAGGGGCACAGGCACAACTTGACAAACTTCGCTTCCGTGGTGGCACGAAACGAAGTACCCCCGGGAAGATTTTGCTCGCAGTGTCACGCTGGCTGGGGAACACCGAAGGCCTGTACGCTCTGCGTGCGCTGGTTTTGACAATTGCACTTGCACTTCCAGCTGTTCTGACCTCAAGTGCTGGCTTCTACTATCGCGAAAAGGGCATGTGGGCTCTGATTATGGCTCAGACGGGCCTCATGACATACACGGCGGAGTTTGTGTATGGTTTCGTCCTCAGAACTCTCGGGACGGTTGTTGGAGGTATCTTGGGTATGGTATGCTGGTATATCGGAGCTGGAAACGGACCCGGAAACCCCTACGGCATGGCTGCGATCATGGCATTGGCAGTTGTCATGCTGATGTGGGGACGACTCTTTGCTCCGCCAGCATTCCTGCAGGGTGTTTTGCTGATGGCCTCGACGCTATACCTTGTTGTAGCATACAGCTGGGTCGACACGCATATTCCCTCGTACGGCAACCCCGGTGTCGGCTACACTGTTTTCTGGCGGAGAGTGTTGCTTGTGATGATTGGCTTTACAGCATCGGCCATTGTCATCTTCATCCCGCGACCACCATCCGCGTCAAGACATTGTCGACGTGTTCTTGCGAGCACCATTCGGGACAGCAAGGACTTGTACGCGCTGTATGTCATGTCGTGGACGCACAAGCATTCAGACCTGGAGGAGACCTCTGAGAAACAGATTCTGGCCAGTGTAGAAACCCTAGGAGGAATTGCTGGACCGCTTGCGTTGTTGAGGTTTGAGTTCTCAAGCTCAAACTTTGACGCAGAGACGCTATCTCATGTCGCGAATATTTGTATGGACATCAACCAAAGCTTGAGTCAATTGATCCTGTTCTCGAACCAACTTCGGCAAGATTACAAGGAAAGGTTCGCAAAGGTGACAGGCGCCCTAGACGAGAGCCTCATTGGCGACTTGATGGCCGTGCTAACGCTGGTCGAGCAGTCGCTGGAGACAGGTTCTCCACTTCCGGCGGTGTTGCCTGTGCCATTGATAGCGCGTTCTGCTGGACTCAGCGAAGCATTTGCGAGAGACAAAGCTGGCCAACTAACGCTGAGCATTGACGCCATCAAGGACGAAGGGTTTCGCAAGTATTGCGTTGTGCTGAGTGCGTTTGTCCAGCTGCTGAGTGCCGTGGATGACCTTGTCTGGCGGGTCAAGACTGCGGTTGGCGAGACGAGCTATGTCGATGTTGAACAGCCATTCTTGTCAAGACACGTCAGTCCTTGAGATGTGGAATCGATCAAATCCCGAGACTTCAAAGGAGCGAGCGTCTTCACAATGTACCGCGTTTCCTATGACACTCTTGAAACACCGCGGAAAAGCCTAGTAACCCACAGCCGCCTATCCTGAATCCCGAGTCCCGAATTCCGGTGTTCGAGACAAGTTTCCAGTGATGGGGTGGATCCATTCAGCATCGCATCAAGTGACTGTCGGTCGGATTCTTCCCAAAGAAAAGGGGAAATAGGTTGACATCGCTCCTCAATACGAGCCTCGGTCGTGCGCCTAGACCTGCGGCCCTAGACCTTCGGCATAGACTGATAGTCTCCGAGGAGATGCTGGAGACGGCTTTGTCTTGGGCATGGCGAGATATGAAGGCATACATTCATATAGGTAAGAAAGTCAAGCGGCGTAGGTGCACCCGCCTTTGCGCGTCCCAAAAACCCAGCAATTCTGACACATAAAGCCAGTCGGCCATTGGCCCGAGCGGGTGTATGACCTCCGCTCTCTGGCAAGGAACAGAGAGTCGTGACACGCATGTATATTTGCTAGAGGCATGGCACCCGACATAGAGAGGGAGAACAGAGTCAGACTCAAAGATTGAGTGTATTTATACGTATTCCGTATTCTAGAGCAGACGCGCAATCTACAAATAGAATGCCCGCCTGGGGCATATATAGTTCGCTTCAGCTCTTCGAACACGCAAACTGGATTTGTCAGAGGTGTGTAACAAAAGGCTGTCATAAATACATCCATAGACAAACACACAGATAGATATATATAGATAGGGTGTAAGAACAGGTCTACCGAGTCCTTGGGGTGTCGTCAAAGACAATGAATCCCCTCTAGCATCCGACTGCATTTGAGCGAATGTATTTGTTCCCCGCCTTTTTGCGAATAATCAAAAAATCCAGGCGACATTCTCGTTATGTTCGCATTTCGCATTTGCATTCGCCCAAAGACCGTCACAGTCTTCTGCAAAAGTTCCCAGAAGAGACCTGCGCACGCATTATTGCTCGCTGAAAGGCCTGCCGCAACTTTTTGTGCCCCGGTGCTGGTAATCAATTTGTTCAGCCCTTGCCCCGTTTGTTTCGAATTACAGTGACCACCATGTCAAACCACTTCGACTACCATTCTGGTCGAATTCGCCTCCTTTACTTCCCCCTACCTCAAGCTTCTCTACGAGTGTGTCGGCATGGAGACCTGCTTCTCTGTCGCCAATGCATCCTCGGCTCTCCACAGGCTTGTCACAGTCTTCCACTGGGTGTAGAACCTGATGCCATCCTTGCCGTAGAAGTTTGCCACGCCTGTTCCTGCCACGCTCTTTTTGTTACCGGTGAAGCTGAACATCGGGAGCGGCACGGGAATAGGGACGTTGATTCCAAGCTGGCCCGCCTCAAGTTCCTTCTGGAATAGAGAGGCGGTGGGGCCGGAACGCGTGAAGACGGCGGCGCCATTGCCATAGGGGTTGGAGTTGATCAGCTTAATGGCTTCCTCAGTTGTGTCAACATTCAAACAGACGAGGACGGGGCCAAAGATCTCTTCGGTATAGCATTTCATGTGCGGCTTGACGTTCGCAATGATGGTTGGACCAACCTGACACGAATTTAGTAACGCTTCGATGGACGGTAACAGCAAGTTTGACTTACCCAGTTGCCATTGGGGTATTTAGGCGGGTATTGGCCTCTGCCATCAAGCAAGATGGTTGCACCCTCGTCTACCGCGCTCTGGATCAGATCCTCGACTCGCTTCTTGCTCTGTGGGCTGATCAAGGGGCCGAGATCGGCATCCGGTTCGAATCCACCATTGATGGTGAGGGCCTTTGCACGTTCGGCCAGCTCTGGCACCCACTCCTTCGTTTCACCCACCATTACGAGCGTGCTCAGGGCCATGCACCGCTGGCCTGCAGCACCAAAGGCCGCACCAGCGATGGCATTCAGTGCATGGTTCTTGTTGCAGTCTGGAAGCACCGCTGCATGGTTCTTCGCACCCAGGTTGGCCTGGACACGCTTGCCCTGGGCGCTACCACGAGTGTAGATATATTCACCAGCTCGGTTCGAGCCAACGAAGGAAATGGCCTTGATGGCTGGTTCATCGATGATGAAGTCGACTGTCTTGGCCGCACCGTGGACAATGTTGACCACGCCATCGGGGAATCCAGCTTCTTTGCACAGCTCCGCGAGGATCATGGCAGCACCAGGGTCCCGCTCGCTGGGCTTGAGGATCAAGCAGTTGCCAGTCACGGTAGCGAGAGGAATGCTCCACAACGGGATCATGGCGGGGAAATTGAAGGGGCAGATGGCTGCCACCACGCCCAGGGGCTCGCGATATGAACGAGTTTCCATATCTTTTGCCACCTCAATGACTTCACCAGTCATTTGCGTGGTGATGCCGCAGGCAGTCTCACAGACTTGCAGACCGCGAAGGACATCACCCTTGGCATCAGCAAAGGTCTTGCCCTGTTCGAGAGTGATGGAGGCGGCCAGTCGGTCCATATTCTGGCGAATCAAATGGGTCAACTTGAAGATGATTTGTTGCCTGCTTATGATGGATGTCGCTCGCCATCCTGGGAAGGCCTTCTCTGCGGAGGCGACAGCGGCCTTCAATTCGGCATCGGTGGACTGAGGCACTCGAGTGACGAGATTGTTGGTGGCAGGATCATGGAGGTCGATCCATTGGGAGGTTTCAGAGGGGACGAATTGGTTATCGATGAAGTTGTGTGTATTGACAATATTGGTGATCTGTTCGTGAGAGGTAGGATAGTCGGCGACGGCAGTGCTGGTGGCAGCGAGTTGGCGCGTAGTCGCATGAAGTCGGCGCCTGGCAATCTGCTCGTTCGGCGACATTCTGAGAGATGTTGAGAGGTGAGACGCAGCTGGTGCGGTGGCTCGTCTTGCTGTCAATGCGGGGACAGCGCGCAGGAGAGACCGACGAGCAGCCATTGCTGCCAAAATTTGAGGGGAAAGGGGGTTGAGAGACAGACTACCAAGTAGGAACCTAGCGCAGCTTCGTGTTGCCCTCAGGTTGAACAAATCTGTAGCTGGCTCAAAGCAAATTCCCTTAATAAAGGGAGGGGGAGTTGGTGAAAGAGCGGAGAAGCTTGTGTCGAGCAACGAGAAAATGCCGGATCCGAGGTCCAAAGTGGGAGCAGCCATTGGCGGCTTGTTATTGGCGGGTTTGGCGGAGTGCTGGCGAGAAGGCCGAGTGCAGGGGTGGGCAGGGACGGATACACACGGTCCTCTTCCGCTCCTACCCTCGTCTGAAACCTAATTCGTCCGCCCGAGGTACTTGGCATGTAGTCTTTACTGAAAATAGTTTAGTCGCTGTCATTACCTTTGTGTCTATGTACAAGTACCTCGTACAAATCTCGAGGTTTTCCCCTTTATTGCGTCCCGACTAATCTTCTAAATCTCAACTGTTGCTCGGATAGAGTACCGTGTCGAGGGTATGATATTCCTCCTTCAGGGTCCGCGGGGCCGTGAAGCGCATCAACATGTTTGCACTGCCAGCCTTGTCATTGGTTCCGCTGCCTCGTGCTCCCCCGAAAGACTGTTGGCCAATGACAGCACCAGTCGTCTTGCAGTTGACGTAGAAGTTCCCAGCAGCATAGCGAAGCCTATCCTCCGCTTGGCGGATCGCCGCTGTGTCGGTCGCAAAGATGGATCCAGTCAACGCGAAGCCGCCGCCTTGCTTATCGATCTTGGTCAAGAGTGAGTCAAAGTCCTCGTCGCGGTAGATGTGGGCCACCAGAACGGGACCAAAGAGCTCTCGGTCGAAGAGAGGATGATCCACGTCCTTCGCAGAGTAAATGGTGGGCTCAATGAAGTAGCCTTTGCTACCGTCGTACTTGCCACCGACCACAAGCTCCAACTGACTGTCTTGGTTGGAAGCGTCGATGACCTTGGTGAGCTTATCAAATGCTGCTTGGTTTATGACCGGACCAGTGAAGCTCTCAAAGTCCTCGGGTGGGCCCACTCTGACCTGCCTCAGCTCTTTTTTCATCTCGGAGAAGAACTGCTCAGCACGGCTGGCAGGGATGTAGATTCGCGAGCAGGCAGAGCACTTTTGGCCCGCGTACTCGAAAGAGGCACGAATGGTGTGCTTCACCGCATTACTGATATCGGCAGAGTTGTGAATCAGGTGAAAGTTCTTGCCTGAGGTCTCCGCCACCAGCCGTGGGAAGTCACGGTATTTTCGTTCCTTAACGCCATCTGCTATCTTGCCATAAAGGCTCCGGAAAACGTCTGAAGATCCTGTAAAATTGATCGCGGACAGTTCCGGGTGTGCAAGGGCCACTCTGGTGATCATCTCGGCGTCGCCGCCAACGAACTGGACAACATTCGGTGGGAGGCCAGCCTCGCGAAGAATCTTGTATACCAGGTAGCTTGCGTATACGTTGGAAGGAGAAGGTTTCCAAAGGACGACGTTGCCAAGGAGCGACGGACCAGACACGAGATTTCCGCCGATGGCTGTGAAGTTGAACGGCGAAATGGCATACACAAAGCCTTCCAGAGGGCGCCAATCGGTGCGTCTAGATTGTCCATCAGTGACCCTGTCGCACATATCAAATTGGTTGAGGCTCAACTCACCCTGCTTGCCCGCGCTCATTCAGCGTAGGTTGCCTGGAATAGATCTCTTCGGCGAATGAGACGTTGAAACGGAAAAAGTCAGCCAGCTCGGCAGCTGCATCAATCTCTGCCTGCCACGCGTTTTTCCCTTGCCCAAGCATCGTCGCTGCCATCAGTTCGAATCGATACTTTCCGGATACCAATTCAGCTGCTCTGAGATAAACGGCCGCCCGATCGACAAAGGGTGTGTTCTGCCAGGCCGTCTTGGCCTTGAGCGCCGCTTCGATGGCGGCTGATACTTCCGCCTCTGTTGTCGGAGTGTATTTGGCAAAGACTGATGAGATCTCCGATGGAATATATGTCTCCGCATCAGATGAGCTCGGCTGGGCGGGTTCGTCTTGTCCGTTTCTTATTGACGGTACACGAACTGGAAGCTTTTGTCGCAACTCTTGGACTGCTACAATCAACTTCTCCCGCTCCGGGGATGATGGCGCATAGTGTAGCTAGCCTTCTGTTAGCTAAGATGCAGCAGTAGATGGGATTATGAACCTTACATTTGGCTCATTGAATGGCTTGGGAGTTTTGTAGGCCCCAGCCGTGGAGAGGAGCCTCCTCCTTACGGACGCACGTGGGGTTAAAACGCGCGCTTGACTGAGGTTAAGAACTGCCTGGCGACAAGGAGTAGTCGGATGAACTGCGTGTGTCAACATCTCGTGGAAAGGAGCCAGTCTCGAGACGATTTCAGGTCGTAGAAAATGCGGCTGTGTTGGAGAGATGTTTTGGTGTGAGCTGTGACAGGAGAATCTTCTGGGGAAACAGAGTAAAATATGTACGTTTCATTCTAATAAGGAAATATTCAACCCAGCAACCTGCACCCGCAGATTTCAGACGGCCATCTCGCCGGGCCGTGTGCAGAGCATCGGAAGTTCATTGCTCCCCTGCTGATCGCCGGGCACCATTTCACTCGGAGACAGAGCGATCTACCGTCCATCAATCAGCTCTGAGAAAGTGGGAAAAGAATTTGGGTAGAGGCTGACAGTCAAACGCGCCTTGAGGTGCCGGGAGGTCTACCGGCAATGCAGCAGTCGAAACTCGATAGAGCCCTAACGGAAAGGCTGCCGTAGCGGCCCTGGTATTTCCGCCACGCCTTGGAACAAGGCTTGAAGGGCTCCAGGACATACCTTGTACGTTGTTTCTGGAGTACCCCGGATCCCCAGTTCTACGTTCTAGATATTTTATTATGCGTGAATCATACTGCAATGCTGGGGGAAAAGGGAATCTCGAGCTGGGACAGAGCCTCTCTCGTTAGGTTGGCCCCGGGAATGTACTTCTCCTTCAATGACAATAGCAGTCATGGTGTTTATGTGGCATATATTTCACATGTGAAAGCTGAGCGGCAAGAGGCGATGGGGATTACCGTGTTGATCTCATCTAGACCCTGTTCCCAAGGTTTGCATATTGGAAGATAGTGATGAAGTCCAAAGTGGGACTTGATGATAGACGGGTTCTTTTTCCTCATCTGGCTAGTCGTATCAGCCTCCCATACAACATCGGGGACTGTCCCGACTTCTATCATACCCCGCTCGACCGGCCCGAATGTTGCTCGCCGTTCCATATACTCAACTCGTCACCAAAGCTCATTTATCACCTCCACCTCGCCGAAGAAAGCGGCAGGCATTACCGGGATTCTAGAAGTCTTCCATCACTCGACAGTTATGGAGCTCATTGAGGCAGAGAACCAGGGCAGCTCAAAGAAACGTGCGCCCAAAGCGTAAGTGGTCTTCGCCCCCAGACCTCTTGCAGAGTGCTGACCTCTTGTCTCGAAAGTTGTCGACGCTGTCGTCGCCAGAAGATCAGGTGCACCGGGTCCCGTCCTTGTGAAGCTTGTGCCAAGAGGAAGTTGACATGCCATTTTGATGACCACGCGCAAAAGATTCTGGTGACAAGAGGGTCAGTCGGCGCTGGTGCTTTACAACTTGTCCCTCTGGCTAAAGCCCTACAGTTACATCAACGACCTCGAGAAACGTGTGGCTTCGTTTGAGCAACAAAGCCGAGGGACCACCGCTGCCACAGCTGCGCCAGACGAACAAGGAACTCCTGATGAGACATTGGAACTAGGTAAGCATTGCGGTGCTTGTTGCGTATCACCTTGTCCTGACCACTACAAGACGAGAACGACGGAACCGAGGACGACGACCCCAAAAGCAGTAGCGCTGTTGAACATAATCAGATCACTTTAGACCAACCAGACATCTCATATGCTCAGTCACTACCCAGATCACAAGACAACCCTCAATCTCTTCGGAGTTCCCCAGGGGCGTCACTCATGAATCCCCTTGCGCTTGGTTTTCCCAGCTACTTTGCCGACACAAGTGGCAGACCCAGTAAGTTCTATATCGTGTTGCCAGGCTGCGACTTGACTTACTGAACACTTTCCCTCAGTCTACTTAGGGACATCGTCCAACTGGTCCTTTGGGCGAAGAGTCCTTGCGATGACCCACGAGAGAGTGATGCGGGCACCTCTCCCTCCAGACAACTTGCTCTTCGAGGGCAAGTCCTACGATCTAGGGTGGGATGGGAAGAGAAACACTTCGCCCGAGTCCCCGTCCGAGGCTCCTGCCCTTCCGTCCGCAGATTTCGCAATGTACCTGATCAATGCGGTCAAGTTCCACTGCGGGCAACTCTTCCATCTCTTTGAGGAAGACAAGTTTATGCAACAATTCTCTCAGTTTCACGAAAACCCCGATCAAGTCCCCTCCAGTCTCTGGTTTATCCACTATCTTCTGATCCTCGCCTTTGGGAAGGCATTTGTGGTGCAAAGCAACAAGGGTCGCAAACCTCCGGGGGCTGAGCTCTTCGTCTACGCGATGAAGCTGATTCCAGATCTTGCATTCTACAGTGCTGATCCCATCGAAGCAATACAAGTTCTCTGCTGTGCCGCGCTTTATTTGCAATGCCTCGATTTCCGCGGGGCCGCATATCGCATAGTACGTTTCTCTTGAATATTCGTCTCGATTATGCTGACGCGTCTCAGATCGGACAAGCCCTGCGTACGTCTTTGGAGAATGGCATGCATACAGAAATGCGGAGCCAACAAGTTGACAGTGACTTGTCACAAAGGCGTCGCAAAGTCTGGTGGACAGTCTATATCCTGGATCGTCAAATGTCATCGCTCATGGGTGTACCGATGGGAATCGCGGACGAATCAATATCCGCAGAGTTGCCCACCTTCTCCGGCCAGCCTCAAAGATCAACGGCAATGAATATCCAGATAAATCTCTCCAGAGTTTTGGCACAAATACTTAATAGTGAGTGGAACCCAAATTGATTGCGGTATGCGTTGCTGACAATGACCAGCTGTGTACGGAGCCGAAGGGCGGCTAGACAAACGCTTCCTGACCATCACCAAAGACGCCCTGAAAAGTGTTGCCAATGTTACCGATCAACTGAACGGCTCTTTCGAGGTTCTGGGTAACAGCTCCAAGACCAGCATCTCAAGGCTCTCGGCGTATCTGCACCTCCTGTATCACCAGGTAAGTCTATCAGGATGAGCTCGCTGAAGTCTTTGGAAATTCTGACAATGGTCCAGTGCATTGTGCTTACGACGAGGCCGATTCTATATACATTTCTTGAATCGAAGCTCCGGCAATCTAACATAAATCTGGTCGAGTTGCTTCAATCAGGAAGTGTGCGGACTTTACTACAAATGTGCATTGAGTCGGCTCAACAGATGATCACTATCCTCTCTGCTCTGCAAGATCACAGTCTCCTCGGTCAGTGTGCTAGCAAACACTATAACGACTTGGTCGGCTGACAAACTGTTATAGAAAGCTTCCTTCCATTTGACCTTGACGCCGCATTCACATCAGCAATAGCACTTTTGATGGCAGCAACCGTAGATCCATCTTTGCTCAAGGACTGCTCCCCCTGGTTACAGCGCGCACATGCAGTTTTCGATGAGATGATATCCCGCGGTAACAGAGTCGCTAGAATGATCAAATCCGAGCTTCAACAGCTGGAAAACATCCTCAATAGACTTTCTTCCAACGAGGAAAACCAACCTGTCATCTTTACACGCCACCCAAGTCTTCGTGGTTCTCTGGGGTTTGATGAGCGCCACCCTCGCGCCTGTGTTACAGCTCAGCCATCACTGGTATCGATTGCGCCGCCACCCTACACTGCCTCCTCGCAGCCAAGCAGTAATGACTTTCCCATGGACGAATTGACTTGGCAGGATGGGATCACGGCGGAGCAGCTTTTGAATTTTGCAGATTCGATGGATTTGACTGCTTTGGACTGGTTGTCCGCGGAGGCAGGACAATAAGTCACGTTCTACTATTTACTTTAGAGATACGACCACAGACGTAATACTCCGGTCTCGGGATCAGGAGCATATCCTAGGCTTTGCAGTCCGAGCAGAAGCGAGACCCGGTTTCTACCTCACATATATGATAGCGAATGATCAGCAAGTTTCAATTTCTCCGAGTCCCTGAAATACCTGTGCCGTCCGTAGCCATTCTGGAGAAAATGTCACCCGGCAGGACTCGCCGGACGGGATCCGCCAAAGGGGTAGAACCTGAAGTGGGATCCGCTACTATACCTCGTGTAGGTAGATCCGCTATCGGGAGGGCATCCGATGTTTTCATGCTCCCAGTAATGGAATGGATCGACTCTGGAGTATACTTCCCTCTATAAAGATACATGCTGCTGAAAGCATCGAGGCGATGGAGAGGGTAATCATTGTTAGATCGACCACCCTCACTCACCATGGCTCTACAACAAGTCCACAATTCCAATGACCAGGCAGAAGCAAGCGGCTACCCAACTGCTCCGCCAGCGGGGTGCTATGTACCGGCGGTGACATTCTTCGATCCTGAGACGGACCGAATATGTCTCGACGCTCAAGCAAAGTACTACTCGTACCTGGCCAGCACGGGACTCACGGGGCTTGTCATCCTGGGGACCAACGCAGAGACGTTCCTGTTGACACGCGAGGAGCGGATGACTCTCCTCCAGCTGGCGCGACGATCTGTTCCAGAGGGTTATCCTATTATCGCCGGCACCAGCGGCCACTCGACGGCACAGGTGCTCGAGTTCATTACAGACGCATACAACGCCGGTGCCAACTATGTGCTGGTTCTCCCCTGCGCGTACTTCGGCAAGCAGACCACGCCGGCGGTGGTCAAGAGATTCTATAAAGAGGTGGCCGCGAGCTCTCCCCTGCCCATCCTCATCTACAACTTCCCCGCGGTTTGCAACGGGCTGGACCTCGACGCCAACATCATCACGGATATCGCACGGGAGTCACGCAACATTGTCGGTGTGAAACTGACTTGTGGCTCCGTGGCAAAGATCACCTGTCTCGGTTCCAGATTTCCCGCTACACGTTTCGCAGTCTTTGGTGGACAGTCAGACTTCCTGGTCGGGGGACTCGCTTCGGGGAGCACAGGCTGTATAGGAGCATTCTGCAACGTCTTCCCCAAAGTGGTGGCCAAGATCTACGATTTGTGGTCCAGTGGACAGTACAGCGAGGCTCTCGCACTGCAGAAGTTGGTGGCATCCGCCGAGACAGCCACCAAGGCAGGCATCGCCAATACAAAATACGCGGCTGCCATCTTCACGGCTCCCAAGGCGGGAATCGCGGATGCAGTGCGTTTGCTCAAGCCTCGGAGGCCGTACGAAGAACCGACCGACACTGTCAAACGGTCAA